ATGAGCTTTTTTCAAGAAATAATTACTTAGATTTCAATTTTTGCAGAGCATCTCTATAAAGCAAAGGGAGGTGGATAAACTACACCACCACTGATTTTCTCTCAAGTCTGGGAGGTTCTGATCCAGGAATTGTAAGGTTCTAGAGCCTGTAATATGGACTATACTTCTCTTTTCCACAGACTTGTCCCTGGTCCCCCTTGGCCCTGGACTCACGACTATCAGTTTTAGTCTGAGTCATACACCCCGTCTACTTTTAAAGCAAGGCTTAAAACTTTCCTTTTTGATAAAGCCTATAGTTATGCTGCTATAGGCTTAGACTGCTGGAGGACATAGGGACCCCTTTTTCATCGTTCTATTCTCCCACTCTACAGTATTTGGTAGTTCCGTGTTGTCTCTGCTTTTTCTTGTCATAGTAGCTTCATCTGGTCTGGTCCCATTTTGCTGTGACTCCATCCTAGAAAGAAACATCAGCTATAGATGTTTCCTAGACCAGAGTCTGGCCTGTTTTTCAGTATTTAGTCCCATTTCTCTCCTAACCATAGCTATGGACTCAGTGAGTAACTGGATGTGCTCCCTTTCAATCCCTTTTGACATGAAAACGTCATCATCTGCTTAACTGTTTATTTCATAGACAGAGCCACCGGTGGAGCTAATTTACAGTTATCTTCTCTAGCATAAAGTATTAGCAGATAAGAGCTTCTATGTTCCTTTTCTATGTCTGCTTCTTTCTTCTTGAACCCCAGTGAGCCTCAACAGAGGGGTTCTTACACTGAGCCTGGTTCTGCTGGTTGTTTCTACCTATTAAAGGAGAGTTTCTCTCTCTCAACTGTTGCTGCATGTATGCTCAGAGTGTGGGATTGCTATAGAATCAACGACACAATCCAAGTGAATATCTATAGTCTCTACCCGCTCATCCAGGAGGAGAGAATCCTGCAAAGATAAGACTGGATGAAATCAGCAGTAAAGAGCCTTAAGATGACGTATTTTTAAATTGGTGCTAGTCATCAACTTAACCACGATGACCGCTTATATAATATCTTTGGAATCAGTTTAAAGATAAAGGGGAATGTTTTTAATCTTGTGAGTTGAAGCCTCAAGGTCAGGATCTAAATTACTAAGTTACTACAGCTACTTATGTTCATGACATCAGTGCCATCTTTATCATATTAACCCTATAATGCCAAATGTATCGTATTTGATACATACGGTTTCTGAAATGTTTTGGGTTTGACACCTTTTGCATAATTTAATGGTAAAAACTTTGCTCAAAATCCTATTGTACA